TCCCCCTGTCGTCAATATTGTACAGTGTTAAGTTGTCATCAAACGTGTAGGTCATTCACATATTTCAAAACACTCCTGAGAGATTTACATGCAAGCAAAACTCTGAATGGGTGACTCCTCTGTATCCCCTCTGTATCCCCAACAAACAGAAAAGGGCACTTAGATCATTGCCTTGGAGAGGAGAAATCTAAACGAAGTCTCTTCTTAGGCAAAGAACAGGAAAGAAGGAGGGAGTGTTCTGTAAGCACTGGGAAAAATCGTAGCAAAGGTTCCACAAGTTCCTTTATATTGGTCTTCCTGACTTTACAGTGAAAGTGGTTCATAATAATACAAACATGTATTTAAAGAATGCCATTTATCAGCATGAAAGCCTGATTGGTGCCTTTCCTCCTGGCATTCAGGAGCTTTGCTTAGTCCATGTAGCAAGACCGCAGGGCGGAGCTCTGGCGCTTCTCACCTGAAAAGCCGCCCAGACCATTATGCGGACTTCTTTAAGATGTCAGAAGACTTGTCCTCTGATGGATACAAATACGGTGGCGTCAAACTTCCGATGAACCATTAAAAAGCCCACCATTTAAAACTCTTTTGGGAGAAAGAATTCAAACATGAGACAGGCAAAGCAGCAGCTTTAATCATTCTTATTATTCCCTATTCTTACAAAGTTCTTACATTCCCAGACTGGTTAATTTGGCAGCTGAGTGTGATACTTGTATGTGGTTTTTAAATTTTTTGTTGTGATACAGTTGATTTATAATATTGTGTGTTAGTTTCAGGCGTATAGCAAAGTGATTTGGGTACACATATATATGTTCTTTTTTCAAATATTTTCCATTATAGTTTATTACAAGATACTGAATATAGTTCCCTGAGCTATACAGGAAATCCTTGTTTCTCTGTTTTGTATATGGTAGTGTGCATCTGTTAATCCCATACTCCCAATTTATCCCTCCCCCCCTTCCCTTTGGTAACCAGAAGTTTGTTTTCTATGTCTGTGAGTCTGTTTCTGTTTTGTAAATAAGTTTACTGACACTTTTTTTTTTTCAAGATTCCACATATAGGTGATACCGGGTAATATTTGTCTTTCTCTGTCTGACAAGTTGCTGCAGATGGCATTGTTTCATTCATTTTTATGGCTGAGTAACATTCCAGTGTGTGTGTGTGTGTGTGTGTGTGTGTGTGTGTGTGTGTGTATACACCTGTATGTGGTTTTGTTTTAAAGAGACGTTCAGCTCCTGATGAGAGAAAATAGAGGATAGACAATAGGATATTGGTCTATCCTGCTATGTGGATGGTTGTAGTTTTGTTTTTGTTTTTGAGTCAGTGGTTTACACTGTAGTATCCTTTGTTCTTAACTGGACTCAGAAATACTATTCCATATTTTTGCAGAGGAGAGACTTTCTGTGCTAGTTCTTAGCCCCAAAGAGAAAAATAATTGACAATTTAAGGATGTTTAACATGATAAATTGTGTATATGTTCAAGTAATACTTTGAAGTGCAGACTTCCCTGTGTATGAATAAGAGTCAAATGCTAAATATACAAGAGGATTGACTGAATGGGAATGTGAATTGGTTGGTCAGTTTTAGCTGGTGTGCATATATTTGTCTTGTATGTGTGTGTATGTAATGTCTTTCCATATGTACAGTGATTGCCACAATTTTAAATAAAAAGAGTAAGTCTAGATATTAAATTTACATTATGTATTTGTATTTAAAGTTGTATGCTTTCTTGAATACACCAAAGGGCATTAACACAATGCGTACTTGGCCTATTATTATTTCCACAATGAGTTACATTTATAATTTGCCATAATGAGCTATACTGTACTTTTACTGTAACTCAGGTTACAGGATGTGTGTCTGTGTATACAGCATTTTCAAAGGTACACCCAGAAATCTTGCTTTGTAAGTTGTATTAGCAATAAGAAAGTTACATTAGAAAATTATGATCACAACGTTTTCCTCAATTTTGGCATCAACAATTACATGAAGTTTTCAAAGACAGATCTCCATGTCCCATGCTGCTCAGACATCTTCCTATCCTAAGCTGAAGTCCAGCATCCTTAAAAGCCCTTGAGCACTGGCCCCTGGATGGTGGTGAAAGTGTTATAAGACAAAGAGTTTCTCTCAGAATCATCCCTGCATCACATGACAGTAGGAGTGAAACAGTAATGGATAGAACATGAAATAATGGGTCCTCAGGGAGATGATCCTGACAGGCCTTTCAGCCTGTCCTTACGGGCCCTGCCCAGGGCCTGTGAAGCAATTAGCCTGTCACGCCCCACGTCTCCTGTGGGAATCAGCAACAGGTGTCCATGAAACATCCCCACACCTGCCGCAGGAACAAAGACAGATGACAACATCCCCTCTGAAATAGAACCGACAGTGCCTCCCCCAAAATAGTCAACTGCGGACATCATATCCAACTTCCTTGAAAATGAGGACTGTATTTATAGAAAAGCAGAACTGGCAGGAATCAACTGTGAAGATACCATTGTGGACTTTTGTTTCCTCTTGACAGGAAATCACAAACTGCAAGAGTTGGCCCTAAAATTCCACAATGTGCCAAAATTCCCTTTGTGTTTCTGAGCTTTCCTGCATCCCTAGAGCCTTGAGCAAAAAAACAAAAACAAAACTTTTCTTGAGTGCCTACCACATGCTGAAACTAGAGCTGGCCCTGGGAATGTGACTGTGAGAAAACCAGACCTTGTTGGTGAGCTCATGGCATGCATGGTGTTGTTGGAGATGCAGATGATCAAATCACAAGAGTAAAGGTTAAGATCACAGCTGTGATAAGGACAGGGAAGGGAAGGTACCTGGAAGAGTGAAGGGGTGTTTGACTCAGCCTGAGGGATCAGGGAAACTTCCCTGAAGAAGAGAAGTTTGAACTGGGAACTGAAGGAGGGACAGGAATTTAGAAAATTATACTCTAGGTAGCAGAAACAGCATGTGCAAAGGCCCTGTGGTGGAAGAAGCAGGGGTGAGCAACCTAGGAAGGCAAGAAGACCAGTGGCCAGAGAATGGAGAGTGAGGAATATGGGGTGGGCTGAGACTGGAGAGGTAACCAGAGACTGGACCCTTGCTGGGCCTGTATCCCATAGAACAAATTAGACAAAAGTGTGAATGGCTGCAGGAAAGCCAGTTAGGAGGCCATTGTGTGGACAGTAGTAGCTTGGACTAATATTTGGAGACAGAAATGGGTGGATTTGGGAGATGTTATAAGAAACAAGTGACAGAACTTAGCAACAGGTCAGATAAAGAAGGAAAAGAGAAACATCAGGTTTGATGCTCTTGTGTTAGTTTAGGGTATATGCTGGTGGCCTTACCTGAAATGAGTCCTTTGAAAGAGTGACAGGTTTGGAGGAGCAGGGCGAGTAGGGAAGTGCAGGAGATA